CGGAGTAAGGATTGTCTTGAATTGTTTATAGTATTCATTTGGAAATCTATAGATTGGGAATTTGTGACTCAGTAACAAATACCTTGTGGGGTAAAGGGTTGGGATTAGGAATCTAGTTGTTCTGAGAGAAGTGGGAAGAGTGATGGTTTTCAAAAAATATTTCTGTAGTACATGGCGATGGCTGGGTAGTGTGGGGATTTCGTCGTAGTTCACAGAGTGAACTGTAGTACTCGCTAAATGTATTATGATATCTTGTGGGTTGAGAGGTTGAGAGATTTTTGATGAATGTTAGAATTCACAAGAGACAATGGGGTTGACTTACTAAAGACAAATAGGCCATTCACTTTGCAAGGGGATTTGCACTTGCACAGTCATGTGCAAGTAAATTAAAAAACAAAAACAGTATTTGTGCTTGCACATGATTCACTTCATTCACTATACAAAGGAGAGGCTTCTCCTGCAAAGTGCAATTTTGTGACAGCGAAAGTGAACAGCCAATTTGCTTTTAGCGAATCAACCCCAATCTCTTGTGTTTAAGGTATTTCAGCTTTCTGGCTAAATTTGCACTAGCTTTATTGCTTAGGGCATATTGGTTTACCTTAATACATTTAAGATGCTCACAATTGTGGAGAAGTGTTCTCAGTTGTTGACTAGCTTTAAGAATAGATACGGACAGTTTAGGAAAGGGAAGACTTTAATTTTTTTTGCAGTTGATCAGTCTGCAGCATTTTCTGTCTCTTAGTACATGAGCTGAATTTCAGTTTCACCTTTCATATAAACCTTATGTCCATTCCACAATGCATAGTGATCAATGTTATGCACATGAATAATTTCAAAGAATTGGATAGGAGTATTGCAACGGTGTTCAGCAACATTGATTGTTATTGGAGTGTGGTCAGATCATGCAATGGGGTTTTGATAGTTGAGGAGATAACATTGTGAAGAGACCATTTGCTAGGAAAAAGTCAATTCTAGTATAGTTAGAGTGAGATACAGAAAAGTATGTGAAGTCCTTTCCCAAGTTCCAGATATTATACAGGTCATGATCGTGCAGAACATGATTACGGTAGTGTGCAGGATTCCTGCTTTTGGATGAGAAGTTGATCCTTCTCGATAGGTCTCCTATGATATTAAAGTCTCTCCCTACTATTAGTGTACCTTGTGTAGCTTGCAAACATGCTATACTTTTTAGAAAGGAATTTAGTTTGCTTGGTGTTCAGATGTAGAGATTCAACAGTATAAAGATATGATTTAATTTGCATATAAGTAAAAGTATAAGATATCTGGCTTATATATCAAAGGTGGTTTGAATGCATCTGAAATTGATCAAGTCTTTAAATGGAATAAGAACACCACATTTCTTTTTAGTAGTGTTAGACATGAAGATATCTGGATATTGTTAAAGTTTTAGGGGCGGACTGTTAACTGAAGAGAAATGGGACAACAGGACAAATATAATATCTCCCTTTGTAGAGCCTATCTTGTGTAAAGACTGCTTAGACCCCTGGCAATGAGGGAAATACATTTGTTTGTCATAGAGAGGGGAATAAAGTGGGTCTTAGTGGTTGCAAATATAGTTAAATTGAAAGGGATAGCACATTAGGACCCAAGAATAAGTAGCAATGTGGAGAAGATGCAGGGTATTGTGTGCCATGCGGTCCAAAGCTTAGGAGGTCATTTGGTTATGAATATACATGCAGAATAAACGTCTTTATATTGCAGAGATTTGGTTGGTTAACAATAAAACAGAAACAGACACAAAAACAGTTAAGCTCAACCTGAAGACAATCTCAGGTACCATCGGCAGCATATTCTGCTTTGTTCTTAGGTCAGAACATACTGTATAACTGAACAGTCATTAGGCTCCCTCTAGTGGACCTACATGCAATTGAAAAGGAATTGCAGTTTCCCAATATACTGGTCAGATAGAGACGCTGAACTGATAGATCAAGAACAGTAAAGCTCCAAACATGCCAAATATGTTTTCAATTGAGAATTGATGTCATGAGGTAGGATTTTCTATTTTTTAAGCAGGTGAAAACCTCCTTTCAGGCTGGCAATAGTAAACATTTTGCATTGTAGTGGTTAGCACATGCCTTGCAGCACTTGGCTTCCCCCGTTTGTACTCTGGTCGGGACACTATCTGCAAGGAGTTTACATGTTCTCCCTGTGCTTGCACGGGTTTCCCCCAGATACTGCAGTTTCCTCCCACACTCTAAAGACATGGTGGAAGGCTGTCTACTTTTTGCCTAGTATTAGTGTGGAATAGGGACCTTAGATTTTAAGCACTTTGAGGGCAGGAAATGTAAGTGCTACATAAATTGTCAGCACTGTATAAATACCTGTAATAATAGATAAATAATAATTGGAAACGAGGGGCTTTGTGGGGTATTCCCATCTATAGAATATCTTGATGTTTCTGAGTACTTTGGGTAATGGCAAAAGCTTTTTCCTATTTTAAATAGTAATTTGAGAAGAGTCAGCATATAGATAGGGCCCTTCATATTTGTCAGGTAGTGGAAGATTTTTACCTGGCAGCTGACATAAGTTGAAAAAAGTGGATTCCTGCTAGGACACCTCTTGGGGTGGGATCTGGCAAGGAACTTGATTTGGGGATGCTATGTACCCCATCTATGAGGACTTCCATATTGCTTGCAGAGGGCAGTAGGGCTCTCTAAGTTGTTAAAGGTCACTTTGGAGTTCTAATTGCAAAATATTTTCAGGGCTACCCCTAAATTTGATGTTGTTACACCTGGAATGATCTTTCATGTACGTAATTTATGCTTTAACCACTTGCTGACCAGGTGTATTTTTCAAGCTGTACTGAAATAAATTTTATACCATTTTTGGGGGACAGATAGAGCTTTCTTTTGGTGGTATTTAGTCACCACTGGGGCTTTAATTTTTTACTATATTTAAAAAAATTACTGAACATTTTTTTTACATTGTGTTATAATACATTTATTATTACCCAATTTTTTGGTAAAATATAAAAGACTGACTGGGTCACGTCGGGTAAATAGACACCAAACATGTCAAGCTTAAAAATTTGCACACACCCGCGAAATCGCAAAAAACTACCATACCCAAAAATGACCATAGGTGACGCTCATCAGTTTAGTGTTATTAGTGATTAATGTGTGGCCTAATGGGTGCAATCGTCGTTTTCGCACACGTATACGCACCAGACGCATGTTGGCATGCGTGTATGTATGGGTGGGGACTTTTTTTTAAATTGTGTTTTTTTTAAATTCTTTTTCATGTGGGACTTTGTGAATTTTTTTTCCCACTTAACTTTATTGCTATCACATAGGGAGCTAGGAAACCCCCTATGTGATAGCAAAGAGATGTGACAGATCCTCTTTATGGAGACATTAGGGGTCTCCAAAGTCACCTAGGGACCCCCAAAGATGCTGATGAAGCAGAGCTCTGCTTCATCAGCTTCTCTCCTGCGTCTAAAGCTGGAGAGTGACACAAGAATTCGGAAGTGATGTAATGTACATCACTTCCGCATTCTGACACCTGAGAGGGGACTGGAGGGAGATTGTGTACCGATCTCCCTCTGATCCCCTTTCACAGAGCCACCATGATGGTCCTGGGCTCGTACCGGGCACAGCGAGCCCGGGACCAGCGGGAGGGGGGGGCAGCGGAGGGGGGGCGCATGGACTGGCACCGTATACAAGCGATACGCCGGCTCTATAGCCGACGGTCACTTGTATGTACACAGGCATCGCTGCCTGTTTTTAAATTTGGGCAGGTTGGAGTGGGAGTGGCTGACGGGACGTTTAAATATGCCCACTCAGATCTAGGAAGCTCTAGGAAGTATTTTTACAAAGGCCGGGAGGAGGTTAAAGAACAACCCTGAGCTTGTAAAAAGTTAGCCCTGGCAGTGAGGCTACCCCCACACTACAAGAGTTAAGCACTCATTTTGGTCTAGGGTCTAAAATAAAAAAAGATATACTCAATCAATCCTCGGTGGACTCCCAATGTTTTTACAGCACAGGTCTTCTTTAAAATTAGCCCATGGCAGTAGAGGGGGAAAAAAAGAACAAAATTAAAAATCTGATACTTATTATTTGCTGCTGCACACCAGGGTTTTTCATCCATCGAGTGCCCTGGGATCTCCAAAATACAGTGTGGTTTTCTTTTACGACAGCAGCCAGTGTCCTTGTCACTGGCTGTGGCCTACCCCCTTCCTGGCTTGCTTATATGACGGCCATTAAGAAGTTTATAATCCAGGCCTGGATAAATATGTTGTGATGGGATGTATGACAAGTAACACTAGCAGATCTCTGGTTATGGTGTTCTGCTAATAAATGTTATTGTAACTTTTGGTAATGGCAATTCCTATGGTTAAATCAAAGCCCTTTTGAAGTGTACAGACTCTCTGGAAAAAAAGTTTAATCAGTAGGCTGGTTTAGTTGTGTTGCAAACTGGCGAGTTTGCAACAGGGTTTCCTTACTTAGTTTTGGGGTGCCTAGGCTTTATTACTGTCACATCAGTGAACAGGAATCTGGTTGTTTGTAGGAGTAAAGCACACTCCTTTTCAAGGATCTCAGGGCAATAGAGAGAAAAAATTACAAAGCAAGTGGTGGAAGGTATGGATCATGTTTTTTTAGGTTAATTTTAGGATCGGCCTATTTATCCCGGTTTTCAAATCTAGCATAGGTAAAATCATGACGGCGATGGTGACTTTGAAATTCACTATTCTGTTATACTAACAAAATATTAATTAATACTAGTAATTAAAGTAACCTGTCTATATTCTGCCTATAATGCAGTTTTTTCTGCACAATGTAGAAGAATAGAAAAGTATTTTTAAATTGTAATGGATAATTGTGATATATAAGCTATGTAAATAAAAGACAAGGGTAATGTCTGAATGGACTACTAGACAAGCTTCATGAAAGAAAGGAATATCAGTTTGTAGCATGTTGTTTTTTATAGCTCTGCAAAATGTATAATAATATATTTAATATTTTTATCTTTTTTTCTCATAGGGGAGAAGCGGTTATCAGATCTCCCATTTGATGCCAGTGCTAATTATGAGAAGGAGAGTGACATGATGCAGACACATGTCATGGATCAGGCAATCAACAATGCTATTACATATCTGGGTGCAGAATCTTTGCGTCCTCTGGTGCAGACCCCACCAGGTGGTCCTGAAGTTGTTCCAGCCATAAACACAATGTATGCCCTACATAAGCCTCACCCTGACATTGCCTCCCATCCTAACCAAGCAGCACATGAAAGTGCAGTGGAAAATTTACTGCTGCTTTCCCAGGTTAAATCCATCTCTTCTGAAAAGGGGGTATCACCAAGCAATAGCTGCCAAGATTCCACAGACACTGAAAGCAACAATGATGAAAGGGGAGGCCTTATTTATCTCACGAATCACATGACCCCTCATCCTAGAAATGGGCTTTCTCTAAAAGAAAATAAGGCATTTGATGTGTTTAGGGCTGCCAGTGACAATTCACAAGATGCTTTTAAAGTGATCAGTAACAATGGAGAACCACTGAAAATTCACAAGTGTGAGCACTGCCGAGTTATTTTCTTAGATCATGTGATGTACACTATCCACATGGGTTGTCATGGCTTCCGTGACCCATTTGAGTGCAACATGTGTGGTTACCAGAGCCAGGACAGGTATGAATTTTCATCACATATAACCCGAGGGGAGCATCGTTTCAACATGGGTTGAGCCTTACTTAGCTTTGTCAGCAGCCATCAATGTTTGTGTGCTGGTTCCACCAGAGTTGCATGGAAGAAGAAAAAATGAGGCTCAACATTTAGGAACAACAGAAAAGCATTCAGGCGTTATTCTATGTCCACCCACAGGAATAAAAAGAGATGTAGAATCTACAAGAGCCAGTAATGTGACTATTTTTTTTCCCACAGAGGACGCATGTTTGTTTTTTTTATACAATTTTTACTGTAACACAGTGATGCCACATTTTGGAGCATCTATGTTTTTGGAAATCTTTTAAAGGACATTTGTACTAAACAAATTAGAGAATGTCATTGTTGCTTATATTTTATTCATGCCTATGTAAATACATTATATATGTTACAGGAAGTCTAAAGACGATTGGAAACTTCTTAACCTCTTATTTTATTTTAGCCATATGACATACACAGGTACTTTAGAAAGTACATCCAGAACTATAATGGTAGTCCTACCTTTAGAATGCTTTATTGGCTTGTACATTCCTTCCTATTGCTTTTAATAAATAAATCAACTTTCCTTTATAGCTTCCTGAAAGAAATTTAGCTAATAATACATAGAGTCTGACAGACTGTTTATCTCCATGGTGTTAGTAGACAACTCAGCTCTGCTATGCTGTCTTTGAAGTACTCTTTTATATCTAGAGTACAGTGAGCTCTCCAAAAGAAAGGCAACTAAATATTCTTGTTTGAATATATAATCTTATGGCCAAAAAAACACAGGAGGAGGCAACAAAGTAAAAGCAAAAAAAGAGTGTCTGTGCCACAATATGCAATGTGTTTGATGCCACTTGTAAATTATTGGATAGCAAAGTTAACAAAATAGTGTTTTTCCTGTTTAAAACTGAAACCATGGACATTTCTCTCTAGTTTATATACATGAAACCCAATGCATGTAGTAGGATGTTCATTAGAGCTTGTACAAGCCAATAGAGCAGCTGTCTCTGGAGGTGGAACAGCCCTCAAAGTGATAATTTATCAAAGCTAAATTTCAGCCAAAATTGAAAATAAGGCCTTAAATGCATATAGAGTACATCCTACCTGCCATGATCTTTTGGATTCCAGGCATAGCTGTAGTGCACTAGGCCACCTCACTGCCTGAGAAGGCCTTATTGCTACAATTGTTGTATAAGGTAAATGTGCAGCCCCTGTATTCTTAATTATGCCCTTTGCAGTCTCACAATTAGAGGTTATGAAGCACATAATCATATTACAGGCAGTAGATCCACCCAGGAGCAGGGCTGAATTGCTTCTTAGCCAACTTGGGCCACGTTTAGGGCAGCAGGGCTGTCAGGGGGGTGCATATTGTCACCCAATACATCATGCTAATCTTGTTTGTTTTATACTAAGGTTAATCATTAGACAGGGGTAGGAAAAGGTGGAACAATACAATTGGCTTAGGAAGGCAGACAGTGTAATTCTGGCCCTGCCCTGGAGTACATATCAGGGGTGTCATGCAGATTATGTAGATAATGTATTACATAAAATTCAGATAAGGTTAAAAAGTGGGCCTTTTATCTTTAGTGTAATTACTGGATGTTTCCTAGATAGCTTTGGCAGTTCACTGTTGCCTGGAGTTGTTTTAGACTGCCAGCCCCCACCTCAACAACTATAATTACTTTACAAGGAAGCTAGCAACGTCTGTTACAGATTCAACATCACTGAATTGCCAAGGGTTAACACTTTCCAACTTCTGTAAAAACTGACAGTAACATAACAGAAATGGTATACCATGTACTTATTTATCGCTTTTCCTTTAAAAATTGTGTTTTCGTTTTTGATTTAGACAGGCAGCAATGGAGTGTTTACTAGTGTACATATTCAATACATATTCAGCAATGTATAAAAACTAAAATGCCACACTTTATGAAAGGAGCTTGCTTTGTCATGTATATATACTGAAAATATAGAATTGTATAAATGTATCCTTGCCCACAAATGGCATTTTCTTACTGTAACTTTTAAGCAAATTTATTGGAAGTATTTATCAGTGATGAAAAAGCAGTTGGGCTCTAAGGTGCAGAATACAAAAAGGCCTAATAATGTCATTAGACCAAAAGCTAAATAGATAATAAATTCATTAGATGCACCTATTTTAAGAGTTCTGTTGTTTTAGGAGTCAGTGAGTAACAAAATCTGTAAGTAATGTACTCTTTTTACAAATAATTATTATCAGCCAAACAATATGCTTGTATAAATCAGTGTCTGCCCATAATTATTATATTTGTTTAACACTGCTCAATTCACAAAACTTTAACACCAACCTAAGGGACTCTGTTTCTATCCACGTGAATGTAAATTTCACATTTGATTGAACTCTGAATATAAGTGTCACTTTTTCAAAATAAGTTCAGTAAGTCCCCTACATACGAATGGGTTGCTTTCCGAGAGCACGTTCAACAAGTCCAACAAAGTTAGCCTAGGTACCCAGCTACATCTCTGCTGCTTTTACGCTTGCTTCTGGACATCTAGGCCTTGAAATAAAGATACTGTACTCTATACAGTACTGTACAGTAAGGTATACAAAAGCACACACACGTGACAAGGTAAGCTAGACATGTGAACTAACTTACGTGATTGGACATGCAAATGCATGTTCGCATCTTTGGAAGTTCGTAACTTGAATGATTGTATGTAGGGGACTTACTGTGTATATATATATATAAAAAAAAAATATATATATCTTGGTGTGTTAGCTTTGTGGATTTATCCTTTTGGATTTTCATTTGAGGGAGTGTTAGTGTCCTACTTGGCCCACTGATAAATCTAAGAACTACATCTCTGCCTTACTTCAAAAGAAGTTGATGACATTTCCTGACTTACAAATGAAGGGAGTTTATTTCTTATTTAAAGATATGTCTGGGAAGGTTCTCATTCATCCAGGTCATGGTATATCTGTAAAAAAGAAGTCAAGGAAACTGGACTTGCAGTATTTTTCTTGAAGACGTTTCACTGGTCATCCAACCAGCTTTCTCAATTCAGAATGTTTGTCGTTTTGCATACCTTCCAATGTAAACTTGATGTTATGATCTACTAAGTTGATATGGTCAGTGAAAGCCCGTAACTCTTGTTTGTGAATCTTAACCCAAGTGTCATCCACATATCTGAACCAATGACTGGGTGTAATTCCCTTGAAAGTGGTCAGGGCCTTGCTTTCTACTTCCTCCATGTACAGGTTCGCCACAATAGGTGAAACCGGCGATCCCACGGCACAGCCATGCAATCAACACCTGGTTGCGACTAAAAGATTATGTGGATTGGAGCGACATTCACCATATTTATTCCCAGATCATTCCCAGTCATTCTTCATTGAGAAAGCTGGTCGGATGTCCAGTGAAAGGCCTTCAAGAAAAATCCAGCAAGTCCAGTTGCCTTGACTTATTTTTTACAGATATTTATTTAAAGATAGTAGGCAGAACCATGCAAATCACAACCAACACTGCATGCAGAAGTAACATATACGGTAGTGTAGACTATGGAGCCATTTATACAACTGGCAGACATTTATTTCAGCGTTGTTAGCCCTCATGATTACTATATATAGACACAGTTGCTTCTAAGGAGCAAAACTCAAGGAGCAATCAGACAGGATAAACAGTCAGGTTATAGACAATTGAGGCAAAAGCAACCAAAATATCCTCCAATACTTTAAAACTATATCAAGGCTTTTTTAAAACAAAGGGTACATGCAGGACTGGATTTTCATCCATCTTTTGGCACCCTTAGTAACAACTCTCAGCTAGGATCAATCCCTCTGGGTGTTGCTCACCTGGCATGGAATATAAACATGTACAACCAATAGATAAAGGGAAAAGCTGCCTCTTTTCCTCTGATGCCTATAGGCAAATGCCTAGAGTGCCTAATGGTCAATCCAGCCCTGGGTATATGTAGAGAAAATGTTGTCACTTCCATCACAAATCTGCAAAAAGAAGGTTTCACGATGGAAGCAATTGTATGTAAATATATTTTATTTTAAAATGACAACAAATGCTGTATTTTACTGTATTTGGTGGAGGGTTTTTGGCTTGCACTGGCTCACATCACCATATCTTGACATGTTATCCTGCCCCATAAATAGGACTGCTTTTGTTTTTTAACGTACAACACATAAGTACATCTGATAGCAGTTTTACTTACTATTTTGACTGGAAAGCAACCAGGAACAAAATAACATTGTGAATGTGACTAGGGAAGTTGCTAGCTCATTGTTATAGAAACTTTTCAAAAGCGTTTAAATGGCCAGATGTAAAGCTAAAGGCTGGGTTCACACCTGGGTGTTTTTCAGCGCTGATCTGAGCGCTGAAAAACGCTCAGAAACTGAAATCCCATTAATCCCTATGGGTATGGTTCCCACCTGGGAGTATCGCGCTGAAAAAACGCCCTACGTGCGAAAAAGTACAGGAGCTTCTTTTCTTCGCGCGTAGGGGCCAATTGCAGTGCGTATCCATCCTTATTCCTCGAGTGTGGCTCGGGGTTAACAAAGCGGTAACCCCGAGCCACACTCGGTAATACAGCGTAGGTTTTACATTGTCCGCGATCCCCGCTGTGTCCTCCGGCCTCTGCCGTTTTCCGGGTTCCGTCCCTTGCGAGCGTCCACGTCGCAGGGGGGCGGAACCGACGGGAAGTTTCAAAAGTGAAAAAAAAACCCGAAAAAAAGATAGAGAAAAAAGGGGAAAAAATCAACCAGGGAGGTTAAGAAACGGGCGTCGAACGCGCGTTTCAGTGAACAAAAAAACGTGTTTTGAAACGTGCAAAAAAACGTGCTGAAAAAATGAGCATAAAACGCTCGTATTTGGACCGCCCAGGTGTGAACCTAGCCAAAGGGTTTAACAAAGATTCAACTATAGGTATAATATAACATATATTTTTCCAAGCACACAAATCATTAGGAAGTGTGAGGCTCCTGGGAGAACCCACCCACAGCTCTGCTCTCTACAGGCTATGTGAAGCTTAGTGATGACACCACTACAACTTTTATGAGGTTATATCTGGATTTA